GGGACACCACTCCTCACTGGCCTCCTCATGGACACCGAGCCACTGACCACAACTCTCTGTGTGTGACTATCCACCCAGTTCTTTATCCACCAAGTACTCCACCCAGATGTCCTTTTTGACTTTATAATTTTGGAACTAGTGGGGGAAAAAGCTTATATTGATTTCACTGTGAAGTGAAAATTCGTGATTTCAACATATACTGATTTCACTATGAACTTTCCTGCCTGAAAGTTTTAAAAATACTAGCTCTCAGTAAGTATACATATTTTGTAAGTGAAACATATACCAACACAGCACCATCCCAACTTGAGAAAAAGAGAAGCTATGTCAACTTTCAGTTCTGCTTTTCAAGAGTATGACTAAAAGGAATCATTCCATACTTCCACATCAAATCTCACCTAAGATGAAACGTTAACATAAGAGTGACATTCCTGCAATGCCTCACCTATGAATGCATCTGAGAGCCTTTAGCACAACACAGGTACATGCAAAAGGCTCAAGGGTGGACTATGCTGCTCATCACACCTGGGAGGCAGAGTCAGCTTTAAATCTAACACAGCTAGAAGGCAGAACATGACAAGCTCCTGCAAACTGCATCAGGGAGGAAAGCATTCCCTCCACTACATTTGTTTTTCAACTTTTGCTGCTTTGATTTTTGGCAACACAACAGAAACATGCCACACAAAACACATGGTTTAGACATGAGAAGGTTTTTAAGCATACTGCTGAAAAGCATTTTTGGTTTTGTTAGTGGAAACATTTTAAGGACCTCTTTTGGGTTTTTTAATTATTTTTAACCTGAATATTTTCTATGCCTTTGCAAAGAACAACACATGAAGACAGCTGGGCTCTTACAGCTCCACTGAAGCACAGGAGCTGCTGAGATCTCACACACACATCAGGTGTTCACACTATCCAGACTGCATAAACCTGTTCCTAGGGCACCATTATTCATGCTGAGCCTGGTTTGAGATTAGAAATTTCCACAAAATTTCCAGCCTAAATTTATTCCTGAGCAGCACACAGTGGTTTTGTTTTCCCCCAGTAATGTTGTTTACCTTAGGTGTTTCAGATTACAATTTACTACTACTACTACTACTATTATGCAGAAATTGTTTTCTTATTAACAGAAGGGTCTTTATAGAATTATATGAAGAAAGACTGAATGAAGACAAAATGAACAGAAACAAGCAAGTTTAAAAATGTGACTGATTAAATGAACAAGTCTGTTGATGAACTTGGTATTTGTGGTTCTAAAAGTCAACAGTTTGACAAAAAGAAGGCCAAAAATTAGTTTTAGAAACTAAGGCCCAAGAACACACCTGAAGATAATGAGCATAATGACAATAAAAGGCACTGAAATAAAATTATTTCAAATCTCCTGTAACATTTCAACACTTGCCTCCAAGCGGCTAAAGCATATTACCCAATTCAACATTTCTCATGAAACACACAAGTAATCCAGATGACTGAAGAGTGGTTGATATGCCTAAATGTAATACAGCCTAAGAGTACAGAGTTTTTGCTAGTTACCTTACTCCTACACCTATAATCTCATGCAAAATACTGCTATATGAGAAGTATCATGGATTTTGGAGGGTTTTTTGTGTTGCTTTTTTGTTGCGTTTTGTTATTGTTGGGGTTTTTTTTAGCTGTTTTTTTTTGTTTGGTTTATTCCAATCACACACACACACACACATATTCCCTGACTGCTTAAGTTTCAGAATGTCTTTTTATTACCTTTATTTTATCCACAACTGGTTTATTGTCATCAGGGTCAGGTTCCCCCTGTCCCAGGGAATCAGACAGGAGATCCAAGGCTTCATCCATCTCTTTTCCTCCCTACCAAAGTATAAACATATTTGTGAGAGCAAATCTGCTGCAAAAATAATTTAATTTATCAAGCTGAAGTAATTACTGACTAATGAACTGTCAACCTGAGTGAACAAAGAGCTCTCCCTCTGAAATTGCAATATTGTGCAACAGGTGGGGAAAAAGAACCCACAGGGCATTCAGACCTACAGAAAACATAATTTCAGGAAGTGCTTATGGGATTTATAGTCTTTTTTTCATTATATATAAGCCTAACTGCTCCAGTGAGAACAGATCAATGAAATTACTGTTGTTTGGTAATTGCTATTCATTTTTCAAACCACAGTTTTATTCAAAACCTGGTTAGGAAAAAAGCCCTTAAAACAGACTAAAACACAAGGGGGAGGAGCTTTATATTCCCCTCCTGAATCAGGCTGGAAACACAAGAGCGAGATCCCTCTGTGTGGATCCACATGGAGAATAAAGAAGCAACACTACAATAATGCCAGGAAGGAAAATTCCCCTGGTATTCAAAGGGGGTCATAGCTTTGCCTGCTCCTCCACTAACCTTGAATTTCTACTTTCATAGGCTTAACCAGTGACTTTGCCACTGTGGTAACAACTACACTGTGACTATTTCAAATTGTCGCATTGCCTGAGCAGGAAAGGAAGGGAAAGGTGTCAATCTGCTAAAGGGTCAGGCCTAAAAATGAAACCACTCTCCAATAGGTGACTGCCTGCAATGACCAGCAGGAAGGACACAGACACATCTCCCCTTTCCCTCAGCAAGTCTGGAGGACTCGGCACAGGACAGGAGATTCCAAAGAAAGGCTGGAATGTGGCAGCAAGTGGAACTTGGGCAGAATGGGCAGACCAGTCCTCACAGTCTGTTGAATATGGAGTGTTCATAAACTCAAACTATCTTGTTCCCCCAGGGGAACATTTTCCTTCCCTGCAATAGCCAGTATTGGCAATAAATTACACAACTTTGCAACAGTCCAGACTGGTAAAACTGGCTGGATCGGGCTGTTCTCTCCCTTTACCAGTCATTCCATTTGAAGTATGGACCTACAGAAGAGTTACTTACTGAGGTAGAAGCTAGAGGAGCTGCAGAGCGCACTGAAGAAACTGTAGCAGCAGAGATAATGTCTGAGGAACTTGTAGGCTTTGCACCTTCTTTGTTTTTCTGAAACAAGACACAGTGTGATCAGCAATACAGAGGACTAGCAGCGTTCCAGGATCTGAAGGGACTCCAGGAAAGCAGCAGAGGGACTCTTGGTTAGGAACTGCAGTGACAGGACAAGCAACAATGGGTACAAACTGAAAGAGGGAAACTTAGACTAGATAGTAGGAAGATACTTTTTCCTGTGAGGGTAGTGAGGCATTGGAATAGGTTGCCCAGGGAGGCTGTGGCTGCCCCAACCCTGGCAGTGTTCAAGGCCAGGTTGGATGAAGCCTTGAGCAACCTGCTCTGGTGCTGCCCTGGATGATCTCCAAGGCCTACTCCAACCCCTTAACACACTGAGCAAGAGGAAAATATGCATCGAACTCCATGCAAATAAAACACAATTCCTGTACAGTTTCTTTCTAGGATTTTTCTTAGGAGCTTTACTTGTTTCAGATTGAAACCTTCTCCAACTATTCTGCATCTCAGTTTGTTCAGGTTCTGTCTTCCATCTCAAATACTGGGTTAAACCTTGGCATATCTGAAGTCAGAGGCAGGCTGAACATGACTCCAGAACCAGGATATCACCAAGCCCATCTATATTCCCAAGTAACATTACTTATGCAACCAACTGGTAAAAAGACAGGACAACTAACTTAACTAGGGTTTTTTTTCAAAGTCTTCTATTAGTTTATTGCAAAAAGTATTTTAGATTTTTAGTTGATGAATTTTGTGTAAGAAACTTTATATAAACTTTAAGGGAAACATAAAATGTCAAAGCTATTCAAACAATTTAAAAATAAAACTAATTTTCAGAAATCAAATACACTCACCTTTAGTACAGTTGATGCAGGGAGTGGTGCAGACGGTGATGGAGAACAAGAAAATCCTTCTGTCAAACCCTCTAAAAGATCATTTTCACTCATAGGCTATCATTGAAAAGAAACAAAAAAAGGCTATGAAGCCTCTTCATCTCTTATAAGTGAGCAGGTAGCAGTCTAAACTGAATACTGGGTATCCTTACTAACATTTGGTAAGCAATCAGTGAAAGAAAGTTATCTGAATATTCACTGCTTTACCTGTGACTTTTCTTCTGGTTTTGGTTGGAGTGGTTTTCCATCTTTATCCTACAAAGAAAAATCCCTTGTGTTAGACCAAGCAGTCCTTAAATGACATTCAATACAAGTACTCTTGGAGCATTCACCAAGCAACAAACAAGTATGACACAAGAAAGCAATCCAACTAGTACCCTCTAGTTTATCAAGACTCACTTAAAAATCAGGTCCTGCAACTTAAGAACACCTGAGTGCTGAAAAGTGAGGCAGTGTCCAGGACTCTGAGCTTCCCTCTTTGTGGATTTCCACAGAAAACAGCACAATTTCCATGGAAATAGCACAATGGGTCAATGAAATGCCAACTTGCAGATTGGTAACAATAGCTACGGCTACAGACTACAGGAACACTGAATTTTTTCACATGTGTTGTTCAAGTCTTGGCTAGACCTAAGCACCCATTTATGTCCAGTGAGTGTGGTGATGTTTGTAAAAATACCACCCTGAAGAATTGGCTATTTTAACAGCTTTAACCAATCACAATTTACCAAGCTCTAAAATACAAAAAGCCAATGAAAGACCCCAGAGCACTGACTTCAGAATTACTCATCTGCAGGTACCTACACCTAAATCACTTGTGTGCCCATGCAGGCATCTAATGATAGATGTTAGATACTTGGGAACTACAAAATGGGATTTCTAGGTACTATACAAATGGTTGAACTAAACAGCAACATTTCAAAATGAAATGGAGTCTCAGTTTCATCCACATACTCTGAGGAATCTAAGGAAGACAGCACATTAAATAAATTACTTTAGCTTCTGTCAATCTGTACTCTGGAGGAATTGTATCTTCATCTTCACCCAGTTTTTTGTGTTGTTCCTTCTTGGTTTTCTCCTGTGAAGTCAAAATAGAAACACAGTAAGAAAAAGCAAGTAACTACATCCCAACAGAAGTGCACAAGATCAAGGTTTCAGTCTTCAGTCCCCTGATTCAAATGGTCTTTCTCATTCAATCCAACTACCAGATACAAACCTCATGAATGCTAAAAGAAAGCATTTTCTCTTGAGAAAGCCTTAATTCCTCTGCCTGTTTCTTTCCCTCTATATCAGAAGTGGATCTAGCTATTTCAGGGAAGCTAACAGAGGTAAATAGACAAGCATTGTGCTGGTTTGAAGAGCAAACCGGTGAGAGTCTCTCAGTCAGAAGTACAATTTAATATGAACAACACAACAAAACAACACAAATGCAACAGTACAAAAATAACCTGACAGAGTCAGAAAGTAACCTGACAGAGTCAGAAAGTAACCTGACAGAGTCAGAAAGTAACCTGACAGAGTCAGAAAGTAACCTGACAGAGTCAGAAAGTAACCTGACAGAGTCAGAAAGTAACCTGACAGAGTCAGAAAGTAACCTGAC